AATACATGTAGGCTCCTATGCACCTTTTGCAAACTACACGATGCATGGTATAAAAAATTGATTTAAACCGACACAGCCAAAATCGGCTGCCAAGAATTGGCCCAGCTTTGAAAATCAATCCGGCAATATCTCGGCTATGCCCGAAACAGATAACGCTCTGTGTCAGAAGCAAAACGCTCTGCCCTGTGCAGCAGCAAAACAATGGACCCACAAGACGACGTAAATCTCAGAAACCCATAGGACCAGAAAACCTATTTACAATTTTTCGCGCAACGACACACCGTTATTACTTGTGCAAGTCTAGTATAGCACGGCATGGTTGGTCGTGGTCGTCTTAAGGTCCATGGTCTCACAGTCCAAAAAAGAGGTTAAAGGTCAATGGTGTAGGTGCCTGGGGCTGGGGAATGTGCCCCCACAAATTCCTGGTGCCCCCAGCCCCCCCCCTTAAAAAAGGGATGGATGGATATCGAACGAGGATAATAAAAACTTGCCCCAAAAACCACACCACTGAAAGCTGGTGCCCCCTTTGTGCTCCCTACCCCACTAGTGAAATCTTAGCTACGCCACTGCAAGTCACCCAATAAAAAACTACACTGATAAAACTGGCTTCGTGACACTGACCTACCCGAGTTTTGTGGTTATCACTCCGTCATTTCAGTCGTTACTTCCCGGTCCGCTAACCTTACATACCTAGTGTGGACTTGTGAACAAAAGATGTCCACACATGCAGGAAAGGAAGACGGTCTGTGGACTTACACATGTCCACAGGACGTTTCCCCTTCTCTAAAAAAGAAATTTACAGGCATTTTAGGGTAGGGGTTATCTGTCGTAAAAGGAAGAGGAATAGTCAAGGAAACCTTGTACAAAAAGCCAGCTGAAAATCATGTTCCCATTTCAAGAAAAATGAGTATTTTGAGTGAGTTTTCTCAACTGCACGAAAAGAAAGGAATGTCCAAACTAGGTATGTAAGGTAAGTGTGTGGGTGTGTGTGTGTGTATGTTGGGGGAGGGTATTAAGCAAGGCAGATATTTTGTCTAGTTTCCCTACAATAATACGATGTAATAAGACTTGGTGACAAGTCTTTAGATAGTCGTGTTTTGCCTGAGACGTATAGCAAGCAACCAAGGTCCCGACGCAAAGGCACTTGTAGACAAGAGCGAACTAAAATACCCAAACCCATTACCGATTTGACAAGAAGTTTACAATTTCCAGGGTCTCGGCTCAATGAACTACTTGAATAGAAAAGAAGAGCCGCGGGCCAAGAAACTGTCATAACTGAAAATAGTTGTGGAGCATATTGCATGCCTTACCCCAACAAAATCAGTCACGCAAACGTGTGACTTCAAATCAAAAAGTGCAGCTAGTGTCTATCATCTCAACTAGTCAAAACAATCGTTAAAATTTCCACGCAACTTAACCTATTGGAAATAAATGTAGCTTTTCATAATAAAAGTCACCTACCATGCTTTACCAATTTCGCACGCTAACTTTATTCGCATGTACCGATCGGGTTTCTTGTTACATAAGACCTATTCGTCATGAATATAATTACATATTAGTAAATTATCAAAGAATTTGTAGGTGTTGACTGTTTAGATTCAAAATATTGTCATCTAATGCAAGCGTAGACTTACCAATTTCTATAATAGATTTCAAGATTTCTTGATTGCCAAATCTTTCAAATTTCGTTATCATACTTCTTTAAATCTAAATGTTAATTTTCAAATCACTGAAATCTTTGACTCTGTACAACATTCAGTTCAATACACCTTAGTGTCTAAATGTCAACCTTTTTCGACGCTATAAACTGTACTTTTTTGAACTGTCGAATTCCTCCGCCAACTTCTCAAAGTCTACTTTTAACCTCAAGTTCTCAAAGCCCCATAGGAATGTCATTCAATAAGTCTGCGAGGTTTCTTCAAATTCTCCTCTGTTAACGTTCATATTCTTCTTTCGACCTCTTTCAAATTCTCAACTGTTCTTTTCAGCTCTCAGGATCTGTTATTAACTCTCAGATTCCTTCGTCAAATTCTAATCTGTCAAATTCTGAAATTCATCTGTCTAAATGCACAAAGTCTAATTTGGTTTACCTCACTTATTATCCAGTGATTCTAGGCCTAAAGTCTTAGAGAATATGTTTCTCTGAGATCTTTCGTCGACTTATGAGCACGTGTACATTAATAACCTTTAACCTTAAAACTCGATTATTTCAGAAGAAATTATCTTCCAATGTTTGATTTTTCTGTGCAACAATATCTTATTATTCAATTCTAGAATCGCGGGTAAAACGACAGCGATCAGATTTGACATCATACCAGAACCACCCAAAGCTGAACTAAACTAACAATCCTAATCTCAAAAGCTGTTCTATGTAGAAAACGATGTGATGCCGCCAGTTCCCTTGCGCTAAGCCTATCAGTTCTGCAAGTGTGTTTTGACCAGCTTCAAAGGGGCCCTTCAGAATTCCGCGTTGTGTTCAAGCTCTTCTCCAACAGCTGAATATCCCCATAATCTTGTGCCATTTGAAGTTTTTATGAACCAGGCTCCCCTCCGCGAAAATTTTGTTCTACTTAATTCATGACACGAAGATTGCCGTGGATCAGTTTTATCAGTTTAAGTAAAAATGCAAATCACTTGTGTAAACATTATCTTCGAAGAAAAATTAGAGAAAACCTATCAAAATTTACAGTCAGCATCTTCCAGAAATGTCTTGAGGAAAGTCTAAACATGGAGAACACTAACAGAAATTATAGTTGTTTGCTGTTGAGATTTCAGGCTGGCATGAGTAAAGTTACTTGAGAAAAAAATAAATCTGACTCTCCGTCAGTAGTGTTTGAGCACAAGCCAAACCCATACGCGGGGAATAACAAAAAAGGAAAGTATTTTGCAAAAGTTCAACAGTCCACAGTCACCTGTGCTGCTACTGACTGACTGAATGATCTCCTCCTATCCTGTCAAGTTAACATTTAAAGTACATAATAGTCAGATCTAGTTTCCATTAAAAAGAGGCATATGAACTCTTTGTTTTGACGAATCACTCTGGTATCCTGATTCAAAATTAGCATTATGTGGGTAAAAGTGTTGAGGGTTCCTATAATCTTTTTATCATGCACGATTCTTCAACACAAACGTGTAAAATGACCCATCAAGTTGGGTTTGTACAATGAGCGTCAGTCCCTCGGGGATGGGGTAAATGCCCCCTCACTCTTTGACCCCGGGATGAGCTATTGAGTCACCCCCACTTTTTCGTGCAGAGATAACATCAAAGCGATATGTGAAGAATTTCTTGGACTTCCCAAAAATCAAAACTTACTCCATATCGCATAAAAAGAACAATAAAAACCAATAAATATGGCGTTCTGACGTAAGATTCTGCGTTTATGTAATCATATGATAGATATATTTCTGTATCCTGAACACTGCCGTTATAGTGTCACGTGGTGTTAGCCCCCAACCTTTCAGATTTCCATGTCCAGGCAAGTAACACACCCCTTCCCCAAAACCCCATCCCCACCCCCATTCCTGGCACAAAATTTACGCCAGTGATTGGCACGCAGTTGTACAGATCATTAAACCAGAATTCACCAGCAAAGACTTTCGAAGATGACAGCCCTAAAAAAAATCGATCCGACTACCCACCGCTGTTGACAGTAAACGAGGCTTTCATTTAAAGCAGAAATTCCACCTTTCGAAGCGTGTTAGTCGTAAAACATTATTAGAGATACCTGAATTATTTAACAGCTTTGTATTGAGTCGTGGGCATAACATGGAGTTCGGTCGAACTGATTGCGTAGTACCGTAGATCAGGATAAGAATTAATAGTAGGTTCGTAGTGGTGGTTCAAATCCCACAGGTCTTATTTGTCTCAGATATTCGACTTTTCTCAGCCTGTTTCCTCATGGAAAAGGTCAATTTTGAAAGGTTTTTTAATATACTGCCCAAATTTGTAGCCTTGATGTTCGTTTCATTCAAGCGAAAAAAAAACGCTCACTACAACGCGTTATCGACTTGGGCTCTATTCACTTAGCGTGGCAGGTATTACGATAGTCTACCTCTTCCACGTGCCGAATATTGACATTTTTTAATTAAAGGCCTCGTTTATTAACAGAGGTGGTCAGTTGTATCGGGT